TTTTGACTTTTGACAGTGATTGTAGCGACGACACAGAAAGTGAGTGCAAAATAATCCAAATCCCACCGAACGACACCATGAACACGAAGAACCTCACTATACTATTCACAACACTGATTGTAGCCATCATCGCAATTCTCGTCTCCAGTTGCCAAATCGGTTTCGGAATCTTCGCACCGCCTGAAATCGCCGGCTCGCGTGATGTTTTCCCGTCGGCGAAGGTTGTAAACCTCACCGGAGCTTCAGGTCCGGAGAGTGTAGCTTTCGATCCAGCAGGAGAAGGTCCGTACGTTGGTGTCTCCGACGGTCGGGTCTTGAAATGGCGCGGAGAATCGCTTGGGTGGATTGATTTCGCTCATACGTCGACTAATAGGTATATGCAGAGCCACATTTTCAGTGAAACAATTGACAATTTCGATCGAGTGATTCTGAATATCGAGATCTGTAGTTTGAGCGATGGTGGAATTTAAGTGATTGCTCATGGTTTTGTCAAATTTGATACGAAATTGTAGAGAATTTTTGTTCGATTTGATCATAAAGTAACATTAGCCTCAGAGGTTACTGTGACAGTATCTTGAATCTAAGATCAGAAACTCAGATTTTGGAGAATCTCAACCAGTTWAGTATCTTGTGCAATTCAGTATGTAATATGGATGTATATTTCTGCATTTTATTCCTCTTTGTTAGGTTTATTACTCGTATCTTACAACTTTGTGAATATGGTTTAGGCAGGATTGTGTTCGTCCATTTGCACCAGAGTTGGAGCATRTGTGTGGACGGCCATTRGGATTGCGGTTCGATACGAAAACCGGAGATCTTTAYATYGCGGWTGCTTACTTTGGCCTTCTTGTTGTTGGTCCTGCTGGTGGTTTAGCCAAACCCTTGGTTACAGAAGCTGAAGGGATACCGTTTCGTTTCACTAATGATTTGGACATTGATGAGCAGGAAGATGTGATTTACTTCACTGATACTAGCACCAGATTCCAGAGAAGGTAATATGAATAGAAACACCGTAAGATGAATATTTCACTGAATGAATTTGTTTCAACATAGAAGTGAAAAGATATCCATGTTTACAAAACTATGAACTTTCTTACACTGATGCCTGAAACTCCGTTTATCCTTTTTGCTTGGTCGATAGTGATTTAACTACAGAGCGTTGTCATGTTCAGGCAATTCTTGGCTGCTGTTTTGAACGTCGATAAGACTGGAAGGTTAATGAATTATGACAGATCGAGCAAGAAAGTGACGGTCTTATTACAAGGCCTTGCATTTGCAAACGGCGTTGCGCTAAGCGAAGACCGTTCTTTAGTATTGGTAGCCGAAACAACCACTTGTAAGATCCTCAGGCTTTGGCTCTCTGGTCCAARCGCAGGAACCCAAGACGTGTTTGCTCAGCTTCCGGGTTTCCCTGACAACATAAGAAAAAACTCGAATGGAGAATTCTGGGTCGCTTTACACTCAAAGAAAGGTCTTTTCGCGAAACTCTCGCTCACTCAGACATGGTTCAGAGATTTGGTGCTTAGACTTCCAATYAGTGGCCCGCGTCTGCACTCGGTGTTCAYCGGTGGAAGACCTCATGCAACAGCCATGAAGCTGAGTGAATCAGGAGAGGTTTTRGAGGTGCTCGAGGATAAAGAAGGAAAGAGATTGAGGTTTATAAGTGAAGTGGAGGAGAAAGATGGTAAGCTCTGGATTGGCTCTGTTCTCATGCCTTTTCTTGGTGTTTATGATTTGTAGTTTTCTACATTGTTTAGACTTAATTGTCTTTGCAATGTAAATGTGAATTACATTGTTATATCTATGCACGTTAGCTCTTTTTGTTTGTTTTGTTTTGACGTCCTTGTGTACTTTGAATTTAAAATTTAGTGTGTATTATTGTGTTTGCTATATTTAATCGTATTATGGTGACATCTTAAAAAGTGTCTTGTAATCTAATATAACTTGTCAGAAACATATAATTTGGTAAACTATATACAATATATGAC